TTGGTAGGAGGGAGCAAAAGGTTAGGCGGGCAATGTGCAGCCAATTTTACATAATCCTTTCACCACCTTAGGTAAAGTCTCTGTACTGTTTAGAGTGACAGCAGCTTCTATAAGCAGGGATCTGTTTTTTGCCATTTCCAGCACTGAGCGATGGCCAACAAGAGCATTTGTCCCACCTCACTGGTCCCCTTCAGATAAATAATCACGATAATAAAGGCCAGCCCTCAGAAGAAGTTACCACTTAAAGAATAGGCTGCCAAGCGAGTGTAGCCCCAAGAAGTATGGGAGGCTCAGCGGCCCTTGACGACAAATGAGTGCTCTGGCTTCCTCATAAACACCTCGGTCTGAAGCCAGGATGTTTATGGGCATGAGGGATGTTTATTGTCTTGTACTTATTCTGCTGCTGCTGGGTTATTGCTAAAGTCAGAAATAATAATAAAACTCGCTGTGTGTGCGTGAGTGCATGCGTGTGTTTGGCAGTTTATTTTTGTGAGTTGACTGAGTTCCCTGAAGTCTGTATGGCTTCACTGTGAAGTCCTTAAATAATCAACTGGCTAAGCAAAGGGAGAAACAGAGACAGCTTGGCATTGGTCTGGCAGTATAACAACAATCTAACTAGAAGGAGGATCACCCTATCAAAAGAGTCCAGTACAAATCTAAGAGACAAAATGGTGAAACAGCGGGCCTCTGTATACTGCCACTTGTGCTGTTTTCAAGGGTGCATGATCATTTGGAGAAAGTTTGTCAACTGTGGGATGCTGGCTGCCATTTTTGCGATCCTCTTTGCTAAAAAGAATCTGGCTTCCTCCCTGCTTGTCTAACTTACACTAAAGTTTTCTTACACTAAGTTATACAAAGTTGTGTAATTAAACCAACTCAGAGTTTGGCAGAGAAAAGTTCAAAGCAAGGGAGGGAAGGGACAATTATTTCAGTTTCCATAAAAAGGTGTAATAAAGAAACTGTTAAGATTGTTTACCAAGGTCAAGAATTAAAATTGAGGTGTCTCAGTTGCAGCTAAGTTAAGTTATTTAGGATTTTTTAAATTAAGGAGGTGTGTCCAAAGCCCAAAGAGTCCAGAGAAGATGTTGAAGCTCTTTCCTAATTTTTATGTCACAGACAATCACCTCGTTCTGAAAGATTTAGAAGTCCAGGGTGTCCTGAAATTTTAGGTACTTGGAATCGATAACCCTGGCATGCCTTTAGGTCTGGCCATCATTATTGTTGTTTTCAGAGAGAGCCTTGATTAGCTAACATGAGCATTTGGCAGAGGCAACTGGCTTTTTTCTGGAAACATCATGTTTCATGTTGCTGATATTGGTCTTTGTAGCATTGTGCAGTGCTATGTTAACTCCTGGACTCTGGCAGCTATACACCTGCCTTTGCTTAAAGTATTGTCTGCTGGGAATGCTGTGAAACATCCATTGTGAGGTTTTTTCATACTGCCTCAGTCCATTTTTATGGTCTTTGCTTTACAGGACAGTAGCCAACAGGGGACTTAGAGTCATTGTTGAAAATACTTGCCATTTTTTTTAAAGGATACCTTTTTTTCCTTGTGTGAGTCATATTAAGAGCTATACTGTATAGCAACAGGCGGCCTCCATAAATCACTGACTCTCCTCTTCTTCTCTTTTCCCCTTTTCTCTCTGTTGCCAAGCCTGCTGATTTGGATGCCTGGGTAAGCTCCCTTTCTCCCTGCATGCTTGTACTATTCCCCACCTACAGGACTCCCTAATTCAGTAGTAAAATTTTCTTTTTCTTCGTTTTTTCAACATGATAGAGAAATATTGGAGATAAAGGAAGACAAAGAACTTTGGAATGACTTGGCAAGTCTGAGAAGTTTGGGATAATTAGTGAGAACCCTATCAAATACATCTGAAGGGCAGAAAGCTAGCTAATGGAGTGCAGTCTCATTTGTACTCCTGCTTTATTCCAGATTGGTGTGCCAAGAACTATATTCACATTGTGTACCCTGCAAGTACAGAAAGTGCTTGCTGAAGAATTGGTCTCATTTTAAGGCAAATTTCTAGCTCACATGATAGTGGAAGAAAAATTGATAACCCATCAGCTGTCTATAAACTGGGTATAAGTTTAAACTGGTAGCCAGTCATTATTTCCTTATAGCTGGTTGTGAGCCCCAACTTAGTACAATGTTGTAAGCATCAATTGCTGACAAATATCCCTGCCAATGGAAGATCTATGGAACATTTGAAAAGAGAGGAAGGGGTGTAATGTGATTATTCAGTAGTGATGAAAAGGCACTCTGTGCATGCTCAGAATGAAGAAATATTTTCAAAAGTCTCTTTTGGATTCATATTGTTTTCCCTAGGTATAAATCCAATTTAGCATTCAGTATTTTGGCACATCCAAAATGATAGTCCAAAAAGTTGTTGCATCTTTTCCTTAGTTTCCTCTTTATTATATTTAGTTACAGCAAATGCTTGTAACTTTATGATTTTATGTATGTTACTTCCACAGACTTCAGTGGCTCTTACCGGGAACAGAACAGAGAAAGTTTTCAGTTTGACATACCTTGTCTTTACTAGACACTTTGCAGATGCTGCCTGTTGTGTCCAGTGAGAGAGGGTGTAGGAGAGTGTGAGTATATATGCCATAGGAATGGCCTTGAGAAAAGTGAAACAGAAATTAAAGTACTTTATTCCAGAGAGCCCAGTTTCTTATGAAGCTAACCAGCCAAGGTCAGATGATCCCTCTTTCCAATATCGTGGCTAGAGTGAGGGAAGTCACGTGTTTCCTTCTTCAGCGATTCCAGCAATTTGTGCTGCCAACTCAAACGCAAACAATCAAACTAAAGGTCATTAATTTGACAAGAAAAATCTTGTAGTTAAGTGAAGGCAGTTTATCCTTTTTTCTCCTTCCTATTTCATTTTATTTTGTTGCTTTTGTGGTTTTTCTATAGCATACATATTTGAGAAGGAGGGATGGGGAGATGAAGACCAACTGGTAATCTTGAAATGAAAGGGAGATGAAGAACACTGAGCATTATACCATTATACTTCTTTATGGTCTCTGTGCAATCACACACATAGGCTTTGCCATGGAGCACAAGGCCTAGACTGGATAAAAACTTACATAGCTCAGCACCACGGAGTGGGTGGGAGGCCTCTTCCCACCCCTTCTGGGTGCCTGAATAAAAGGAGGGTGCCTACTCTCTCAGTTCTTGGGAAAGGAAGCATCTGCCTGATCATCTCCGCAATGCAACCAGGCTAGTCCATGCTGAGGTGGAAAAGCTGGCCAGGTACCAGATAGAAGCAGCCAGACATCATGTTGACTGCAGTGGCAAGGCGATGATGGCAGTGGTAGTGGTATGCCGCCATGCCTGGCTATGGTCAGCAAGCCTCCCCCAGGAGACACGGACCCGCATCGAGGACTTACCCTTTGATGGGGAGAGCCTTTTTAACGTGTACACTGATGAGGGCATGGACTCTCTCCACAAAGCCTACACCGCTGCCAGGTGTATGGGGTTCATGCGCAAGACACAGCTGCACAAGAGGCAACACCAGCCACCACTCTTTCTCTGACCGATTCCTCTGGTTCAGGCCAGTGCCCCCCCCCAAAAGGCGTGATGCCCAGCCATGCCAAAGCCCCTCCCAAGCGCCAGGACAACAGGTGCAGGCAGCCCCGCCCCACCCTTCCCTCACAAGTTCACACACCATCTGGCTCAGTATCTTCCAGCCTGGGAGGCCATCACTTCAGACTCCTGGGTCCTTTCCATAGTCCAACAGGGGTACCGGATAGAATTCAATTTCCTACCACCCCTGGGCCTCATTAAAACCACATCACCCATGCCAGCTCTGATGGCAGAGGTTGAGGCCTTGTTGTCCAAGGGAGCAATAGAGAAGCCCCCCATGGACTGACATACGGGTTTCTGTTCCTGATACTTCACTGTACCCAAGCATGATGGAACCCTTAGGCCAATATTGGATCTCAAGGCAGTCAACAAGTTCATAATGCTCAAGCGGTTCAGGGTGGTCACTCTCTACTTGCTTAGAGAAGGGGACTGGTTTGCCTCCATCGACCTGACGGATGCCTATATCCATATAATGATCCACTAGCTTTATATGCACTTCCTCCACTTTCAGATTGGCCAAGAGGCCTTCCAATTCTCTGTCCTCCCTTACGGTTTGGCTACTGCCCACAGGACTTAACAAGGGTATTGCAGTGGTCTGTGCCCACCTCAGGCTTCAGGGCATCCAGGTCTCTCCCTACTTTGACGATTGCCTCTGGCAGCCAGGGTGCTCCTGCAAGGAATCCACCACGTGTGGCCTTCTGCAGGACCTAGGGCTCCTCATCAATAATGACAAATCTTTTCTCTCCCCTACACAGTCTATCATCTTTATAGGGGCTTGCCTGGATTCCAGGCCCTCCAGGGCATTTCTCCCATAGCACTGGCAGAAGCTCTTGCCTCACTGTCCACATCCGTCAGTACCATGGTACCGTCCACCACCCCCACCATCCAGAGGCTCCTAGACCTCATGGGCACCACCGTGTCAGTCCATCAGCTCACACAGCTCCGGATGAGGCCCCTTCAGCTTTGGTTCATGGAAGCCTTCACCATGGACAAAGAACCCAACACCACCAGACAGATCCCCCCTCAGGCGGTCAGAGACTGTCTCCGTTGATAGGGCAACATCGACAATCTCACCACTGGGGTCCCCTTCTCCCCTCCAGATGGTCACAGCAGATGCCTCAAACACAAGCTGGGGCACTCACTGCGTAGACATGTGTGCCCAGGGCCTCTGGGCACAACATGAGTCACAACTCCACATCAACCTCCTCGAGATGCTGGCAGTGCACAAAGCCCCCATGCCCTTTCAGAACTCCCTGACAGGACAGTATGTTCAGATCGCCACAGACAACACCACCGTCATGTACTATCTGAACAAGCAAGGTGGACTCGCTCTCCCTGCCTGTCATCCCTCACCTCCACCATCTAGAGAGGGTGGTGCCTAGAGAGGGGCAAAGCCCATGTGTGTGAATGCACAGATGACCACTCAAAGAACTACAGTTACAGGTAAGCAGAGCTGCCTTCCTTCTAGTTCTCCCCAGTGATTGTTTTCCTTTCGTGAATCAGCCAATTTCCTAAAAGTAACATTAATATTCACAGTTTAGTGTTGAGTTGTACGTCATACCTTCCAACTAAAACTTCTACATCAATTTCCAAGCAGAACAATTTGCCAGGAGCTAGCTTAGACCAGAACAGCAGCATCAGCAGGAGAATGGCGCTAACACGTACAGTAAGAACCAGAGAGCACTGCTTCAGTTCTTTGAGAAAATCAGGATATTATTTACATATGCCACTGCAGAATAATCAGGAAATTTACAAAGAGAGTTACTCATGAAATGCTTCAAAGTTCCTTGTGTATGGCAGAGTCTAAATCACTTTACTAGTATCCAAAATGGTAATAATGAGTAAAGAAAGCAGTTTCCCATTGTAGATTTCCCAGATTGTAACCTCTATATAAGTCTAGCTCCCTGAAGACAAACAAACAGTAAATTTATGAATGGCCGCCAGTACCAGGAATTTGACTGAATGCCTAATATTCAGTGCAGGGACATACACTTCTATCCATTTTTCTAATTAAGAAAATGAGTGCCCTGGCTGGGTATGTAGGTGGGCTGATAACTTCTCTTTTCAAGTTGTTCTTCTTATCTGAAACCTTAAACGCAGGAGCCAAAAATGAATAGAGGCATTCAAAGGGGGTGTCCATGTTGGAGTGAAGATCAATTGGGCAGTCATAGAGTTGATGAGGAGGCAACATTTCTGCTTCTGCTCTTTTAAACATATCTGCAGAATTTCAGTACAGCAGAACCCCAGTGTCCTTTGGTTCAGTAACTGCGTTTTCAGTTAACCACGGTTAACCTCAGCCTGAAAAAGACGCTGTAAAGTGCCAAAGAGAAGTGCTTCCCATAAGCACAAATTCTTGATTTAATAGGGAAAGAAAAAAAATCATATGCTGAGGTAAAAATGAATTGCATTGTGAGCAAAGAAATGTATATAGTATATAGTGTTCACTGTTATCCATAGTTTCAGGCATCCACTGTGGGGCTTGGAACTGATCCACGCAGGTAAGTGGGGGCTGCTCTATTTCCCTAATAGTGATACTGTAGAAGAGGACTCCTATGAAGCTATGGGGGTTCCCAGGAAGGGCACACTTTTCTCTGTGGACCCTTTTAGGTTAAGCATAGAATGCAATGGTAACAGGCAAAAATTTGGCAGTGAGAACACTGGAAATAACTCTGCCTTAACTCCATGGTATTATTGGATAATAGGCTATTAGCCAAGTTATCCCCCAAGGTATTTTGAGATGGGAGAATTGACTAGGTCAGAATTATAGTGTCTCATGGAGCTATAAGGCACCTGTGCCGCTAGGGAACTGGCTTCTTAGTTGACTGGCTCGGGTGACAAAGTTGAGTCATCCAACCTTTTTCCTACTGGATGGAAATCGCCCTGTCACATGTGGGGGCCCTGCAGAGCTTTGGCAAGTTAGCTTGGTTTGTCAGGCAGCAGCAAAAGAAACCAGCTAAGTAAAGACTGAGCTCATTTGGCTGCCCTGTCCTGTCTCTGTTTTTGAGAAGTGTCCCTCCCAAACAACGCACCTGATTGCTCTCAGACTTTGCAGTAGAATGAACCACAGTGATGGGGTCCATGATTGAGAAAGAGAAGGATGTATTCTCCCCTTGCCTGTCATGAGTTCATTCTGCCAGGTTATGGCTAATCTGGTCACAAATTTTGATACATTTGTCTAATGCTGTGGGAGTACAATTAATGCAAGCTCATCTTTCAAGGCAGGGTTTAGACAAGAATGGAAGTGGAAATGTTGAGCAGCTGTATTTCTAGTCTGTGTCCACTGCTAATCCATGGATCTCAGCGACATGCTAATACTAAGATCTGGAGAGAAGGTTGTTTCCAGGCACGCAACGGCTGTGTTCACATTATCTGTAGTACACAAATAATTGGTGCAGTTTATGTTGCATTAGTGACCTGCCTTGATATTTACATTTGCTATAATAGTGACTATTATGCTAATCCCAAGAACACACATGGTGCAAAAGGATTCAGATAATAGCACTGTCTGATTAAATGTATGCATTTTGAGTTTCATGGAACACACTTCCTCCAGCATAAACAAAGAATAGCTCTGGGAAGCATAGAAGTCAATGCATACTGTAATTATTTCCATACCCTAGTTTTAACACACTGTTTCTCAGAATTGTCCTTATATTTACTCACTGTAAATTTAAAATAACTTAAACTGCTTGGACTTCCTGACAAGAAAGGTTAAAATGTGAGGTAGAGGGTATTTGGTACTTGCTTGCCAATTGAACCTTTCATACTTTTATCAATCATTTGTCCTCCTGATTGTTTCTAATTGTTGGGTGTTGCGAGCTTACAAGTGTGGTTTTAGTCTTCTCATCCTTTTGTAGCTATTAATGGGTGGGTCAAAGAATTTATAACCTAGGATCAGCTTGATTGATTTTCCTCAGGAGATATGGAAATACTTGTTAAGGCAGAAGTGAAGAGTGTTAGTTACCAGTAGTAGGCTAAATATTTGGACTTTAAATACAGTCAGAAAGCATCCTCCACCAAGCAGACTTTCTAATTTTGTGTAATCTGAATGCATAATATATTCATATCCCTGTTCAGCCTTGTAAATGCAAACATGAAATAGAATCACAACTCATAGACTTTCTAATTAGAATCGGGATATAATATTTCCCTATCACATTATGCTTTTTCCTGCTGGTATAGATGTTTTGCATGAAAAGTGTCTGAAACATTTTTAGCTACCTGTGGAGTCCATACGCTCTGAAATTATAATTTCAACTGCAGCCAACTTGTTCTGGAACATCACAGGCTTCAGGTGGGGAATAAGGAGCAGGCTGGAGGGAGCACTTAAAAATATCCTGTATTCATACAAAATGTCCCTGATTGCCTAACCCAGTTTTGTAACGTTTGATATGGAGAATATTTCAAATAACACCTTTCCTTGGTATCCCATATATATTTCAAGTATCATAAAAACAACATCATGTATTTTAGTTCCCAGTAATAACAGCTGGGGGTAAAGTTAAAAAGCAAACACATCTTTTTAAGCTGAGTGGAATGCTATGCGGTTAACTTTCCTTTTCGCCTTAGCCCACCCACAAGAATCACTTTAAAATGAACAAATTAGTTTTAGGGTGTGAGTGAACCCCACCCCCCACCCCCTCCAAGCTATACTGTAAGCTATACTACACTAGTGGGAAGACTGATCAAGAAATGTGCCAGCACAACTGTGTTAACACTCCTGCCATTTCAGGATCTCAGTTTTAGATCTTCATCACTGTGTAATGGGAACTTTGCATGGGATAGTCTTTTGTTGCTTCATTAACTTTTGAGGAAAAGCCGTGGTTATAATATTCTAAAGTTAGGGATATTCCTTTTTAATTGCAACTCTTTCTCATAATAAGATAAAGAGACATGAGGCATTTCTCTCTTCTCACACGAATTGGAGGAATAGGAAGCAATGGTGCAGAAAGGCTGAAATTTGGAGCCAGACCTGGTGGTCTTTCAGCCTGGACCCTCCCTTCTAAAAGCCCACTCAGGGAGCAGTAGCTGATGGGGTGGCAGCAGACAAGCCTGGAGCAAGCACCTGGGTCAGCATAGGCATGCTGGGGCCCAGCAGGACTGACTTCTTTCCTTTAAAAGATATGTTATAGTCAGGGGGCAAGTGGCTGGGCATGTACATGTGTCTAGAAGCTCATTTTATTTATTTATTTTTAGTTTGAAAATATGTTTTCCTTTTCTACAAACAATGGGCATGCTCAGAGTTTTATTAAAATCAGGATTAGCAAACAGTTTTGTTTGCTTGCACCCTCTAATACTTCAGGAAAGTAGAAGCAGTTGCAAAGCATGCAATGACTGTCCAGGGACACTGTGGAGAAAGGTTCATAACTGAATTAATGTTCATGGCTGTGTGAAGTGGGGGAGAAATAACTTCATTATGTGCAAGGTCTAAAATTACCTAGCTGCATCATTTTGCTTGGTGATGGAAGTCAGAAATAGAAAACCGCATCGTACTCTAGCCACTACACCTTGCTGCCTGAGCCCATACATTTGTATTTTCCCAATCTGTAAGTAATTCACTTGATTTAAATTAGAAACTGATGGGTTTGAAGCAATCATTTTTCTGTAAGAAGCATTTGCCAGCTTAATTTTGGAAAGCCTCATTGAATGTGTTAACTAAAAAGAAAGGGTCAGACCCTCAGACTTGGGGTCTCAATCAGTCTTCCAGCTTCCCCAGAAAACCCTTATCCTTATCCTTTCCCTGTCTTGCCCCTTTTGCTCAGCCAACAATTCTTTGGTGTTTCCTGGCTTTTGCACTGTTTTCCCTTGGTTCTGAAAGGTTGAAATCCCTCTCCCATGGCTTAGTTACCTGCAACAAGAACTTTAAGTTAGAATATGCTGGTATTTGAAAGGTTAGGCTCTATCCTATTGCACTAGGCCTCATGTACCCCTGGAAGATGGCTGGCAAGAGCTTCTCCAAAGTGGAATTCAGACTTTGGTCTGCTGGAGGTTCCTCACCCCTATTCTAAAGTTATGTATGCAGCTGATAGTTTATTTGAATTAACCCATAAGCATCATAGAATGAGCATCACAATGAAGCGAGGTTAGGTGAGATTAGTTCTGGCAGAGATATGATATGAACCTGTCACTCTTCCTTTCTTGAACATGTTCATTCCCTTCTCTATGGGAGGTATTTGCCCAGCTGAATGTTTAGTGTAAGCATATACCGAACCTCTATGTTACAACTTTTTACAACTCTCAGTAGAGAAGGAAGGAGAAGAAAACACTTGGCAACTTGCATTTTCAGATGTTGCTTTTTTCCTTTCTATGGCAGGTGACCAGAAATGACAGGGCTGAGCCCACAAGAATTTTTTTCTGTCCAGGCTACTTAATCATAGTTCTGGGGCCAGTTGCTTACTCCCTCTATGAATTACATCTGTCACAGCTCCCTCCCTTATTGCTGGCCTATGTACTGTAGGCAACAGCTCATGTGTCTTACTGTAAGAATGCCAGTTGAGTTGTGGGATCTTTGTTGTTGTCCTTGCATGCTGACCCTTTGCCATTTTCCTTTCCAAAAGTCTGAGGCAGATTGGGATCAATTTCAGTCCACCCTTGTCCCATACTTCCTCCCTCCATTGACTTTCTTCTCTCCCATTTTTGCTTTCTGTTGTGTTAACACTCAGTTTTTCATTTTTCCTAGTCACAAGAGTTGCAACGGAAGGATGAAGAGCAGAAGCGAAGAGAAAACTTCTATAAGGAACAATTGGCCCATATTGAGAAGAAGGTGAGGCAGTGTTATCTATTATTGACTGAAGGCTGTAGGCTGAATGCTGTTGGGCACACACCTTGATCTGCGTAGATCTGCCGAGATAAGAAACAAGTACCATCCTGCTGAACCTTAGAACTGTCAGCTCCTATCATGTATCCTTTGGGGTCCTTCTCCCAATCAGTTAAACTGCTTCAGAACTGTTCAACAATTCGCATTTAAAAGACAATTTTAACTGGATGATTAAAAAAAATACAGGTTTATAATACACAGTGCCCCCCTCCCCACCACAGCTCACATACACAGACACTACGGGGTTTGGTTGAAAGTGAAGTTGCCTTTTAAAAATTCCCTTTATTAAAAAGTTCACTTTTAAAAGTATCTATGAAAGTAACTTTGGATCATTATATACATATGAATTAAAGTTGTTATTATTAATTTATCTCTGGGGAAACTAACAGATCAAAGTGTGTTGCTGCAAACTGCTGTCTGCTCCTTTGCTAGATAAGCCTTTGAAACAAACATAATTTAAAGAGATACCATCAAGCATCTTTTCAGCCTGAAATGACCTTTGGAAATCCATTTAGGGATTTGACTCTCTCCCTTGAATGTGGCGTTTGCTTCTGTTTAATTGTTTACCATGATGAGTTTTTAAAAATTGATGGTGTAAGAATTGGAGCTGCCACATTATTCCTTAGGAATTAATGTGCTCTTTTCACTTCCCAGCTAAATGAACCAACATTTGCTGCAGATTTTGCTTTTGTGCTTTTTTTAAATAAATGTGTGAAGAATAATATTCCACAACTTTAAAGCAATTAGACCTCTCGACAGGGTTTGTACATTTGTCTCCTAGTGCTGTTACTGGATTTGTTTGAGGAGGCAATGGTAAGCCAATGGCAGCCAAACATTTTTGTTAGTTGCTGCAATCAAGGCCAAAGCCAATAAGAGTGTTACTGCCACCCCTTCTGCATTGGTTTGGTTTTGTCCCCAGTTTATGGAGAGAGCAGAATAGGGTGGAAGAGGTTGACAAGAGTGACCTGAACTATGGTACTTGTCCTGCAGTTTAGGTACCCATGTCTCAAATGAATATGGTTCCCTGAGGACAGTGGATTCATGCATTAGTTTTGACAATCATCACATTAGGGGGCAGCCGTAGCTGAGTGCTAAAGCACATCTTTGGCATTGCAAAAGGTCCCAGGTTCTATTCCCACAGCACTTCCAGTTGGACAGATTGACAGAAATAGGTGATGGGAGAGATGTTTGTTGGAGATCTGCCACCAGTTAAAGTAAACCAGCTTTCTCTAACCTGGTGCTCTCCCAATATTTAAATTCTGACTTCTGGCATTCCTGACCAGTAGCCATGCTGGCTGAAGCAGATAGGAGTTGAAGATCAAAACATCTAAAGGGCACCAGCAGGGGAAGGGGGAACCTGCTCCAGAAGGACAAATCCTCTGATCTGTCATAAGGCAGCTTCCTATATTCTTAGCAGAGAGTAAAACCATGTAGAGCCTCTTTCATTTCCAAATATAAACCATTGCTTCTATTTATTTTCTATGGCTGGGAATGGCAAAACATGTTCATGAGCAAGTTCACTCAGCATACTTAGCTACATCTAATCTGTGTAATTAATTTTAAAAATGAACAATTAAAGCTACTGCCCAACACTGCTGCTTTGGTTTAAATTCCATTTATGTTTAATGGGGATTGTGCATTGAAATCTCAAGCAATCTACCACTCATCTCTCTAATTATCACAGTTGTCCATATGTTCACAGGCAAGGGAATTTGTTGCAATTTCTTGGCCTCATGCTGTGCCTCTTTTTGCGTGCTTCTCTCCAGATTTGTGTTCATAAAATGAAAATGTCGGGGAATATTTAGCTATATCTCAGTCATTTATTGGTTACATAGAAAAATGTGTCCCAGCCTGCCCTCATCAGAATACTTTTTGGTTAGTTTGGTTCCCCACCCAAAAAAATCTTCATTTACCTGTTCCCACTTGTGTTTTGTCTGGATTCCTTTGCAGAGCTAAAGTTGTAATCCTATGCACACTTAATTTGGGGGTAAATCTCATTGAACTCAGTGTGGCTTATTTTTGAGGACACATGCATGGGATTGGATTGCAAATAGGTTTTTAAAATAAAGATTAATGACTGCTTTAGCTGCATGAGCTTCACCTTGGAGTTGGTATTGAAAACCATCAGCACCATTGCTTGTCGTTGATAGATTTTTTTTCCCCTTTCTCCTAGACTTCTGTGCACAATAGCAAGTCAATATTAAGGGCAGGTTTCGTTTCCCTGTTTTATGGCACTAGATAGTTTTCTGACCCTTAAACACCAGCATTTTGCTAGTAATAAAATAGAAGAATGCTTTCAACTGTTATAGAATGAGTCTAGATTAGAGCTGGAGATAGAGGGGGCTGGCAAAGGAGAGAAATGTACTTCAAACTGTGTAATAAAGCTTAATTGTATTAGTTTTGAAAAAGATTTTCGATCTTCTTCATGGATAATTTTATTCCTGTAATGGTTGGAAAGATGGGAAATGCAGCACCGAACAATCTTTTATATTAGCTGCTGCTTTTATATAATTTTTCTTTCATTTGTTGAATACACACAGATCTTGGCACACACTTTTTTCTGTAGTTACTGCTGTAGAACTTTTAAATCCATTTTATAAAAACTGAGGTTCACTGGGAGACCAGTTCAGGGGGAAACTTGTGGACATCTGTTGTTTGGCTAGATTGTCATGGATGGATGTTCTGGAATTACAAAGCAAGAGTCTTCAGGGCATTTGAGGGAAGTTGGGTGGGGTGAAAGGCAAGGTGGTGATTCAGCTTAGAGAACACTTGAAAATAATAGCCTCCCCCCTCCACTAGCCCATCTGGGTAGGATTTGCTCGGTCCCTGACTACATGGATTATCAAGACTGCCCTCCATCTAGTCTTATTGATTTCAGTGGACATGTTGTACATAGCTCACTGCTTTTGAGATTGCTGAGATCTCATTTTTAAAGCTCATTTTATTTATTTATTTGCATGTATATAACACGCCTTAAAATAAATACCTTGTGCATCATACCATTCTAATAATAAAAATAAGTATAATAAAAAATCAGGAGCAACATGCCAAAAACACAATCGATCAATAAAACCCAACATTGCCTTAAAACGTTCCAGTTCTTAATTCTTTTAGTGCAGATATGAAGGCTGTTTTCCAGTCAGAGCTGCTGCTTTTTCAGGAGGGCACTGGGATTCATGGCCAAAGGCGACTGGCTGCATGTTCACATTTATAAATGCCATGCAAGATCAGTTCAGTGAGTGCATCTAGTTCCACAGTTCTCAAATTGTGAGGCGAATTTTGTGCCCCCAATTGGCATAGAATGCTCTCAGCTCTTCTGCCCTATCATTGCTAACAATGATTATGTGGTCCTATTGCCACTCCTTCAAAAGTGGGATCACTACCGCTAGCCACAGGATGCCACAAACAAACAAACAAAATGCTGCAGAGAAGTACACCTGGGGAAATTCTGCTAGGGAGGATGACTTCACCGTATCAGCATAGGCATATACCATGTAATAGAAGCAATTCCTGGTATGAGTAACTATACATTTACACATGCATCAAGAAAAACTCTTTGTGACCCGCTTACAGAAAACAAGTGTGAATTTCTAAAGTTGGTAGACTACAAAATTGCTTGCTTGCTTATTTCCTTGTATTGGTCGCTTCTTAATATTTGTAAATGTCCTGGGGGTTTTGTGTGTGTGTATTTTTGTAGCTCAGAAGTATCTTCCATTTGGTTACACTCTCTAATTAACCTCAGTGTTTGGTGCTCTTCTTAAGCCTCACATTACAGATGCTGTTTTTGACAATAGTGTTAATGCTGGTGGTGCTCCAGCAGTATTAACTTCTGTTGAAAGTGTATTTCCAGCTACACACTACAGTAAGTTATTGGGTCTTGTTATAGCTACTGTTTGTAGGTGTTTCCATAACTTAGAAATGCTGACTTGGCATTCATGCTAAAGAAACTGTACCATATATGCCCAATTAGTGCTGATATTATATCCCACCTCTGGAATTAACTCTTGTAGAAAAGTGAGTCTATAACCACTGCCATTCAGATTTATATAAATCCTTGGGGGCAAATTATTTATAAATAATTTGATACTGATTTGATATTTCAAATTAGGGTTGGGCAAAAGGTAGATCTACATATGTCTTGGAGTATAAAGCCCACAGTTAATTACAGTTGTCCATGCTTGCAAGAACTTGTTCATGTTTAAATCCAAAACTTCTGAAGAATTTTACTTTTTCCTTTCTTGCCTTAAATAATATAAAAACAAATACAGTGGTACCTCAGCTCACGAAAACCTTGGTTCATGAACAAATTGGGTCACAAACAAAAATTTCATTAAAATTTTGACTTGGGTCGTGAACTCTGCATTGGGTGGTGACCGAGATCACAGCCATCTCCCCCGCCCTGAGTGGGGAGATGGCCACGATCGCAGTTGCTTTTGTGCAGGGAAGGCGTGCATGATCATAGGTGTGCTCCTGAAGGAAAGACGAGTGCAATCTCTGCCATCTCCCCCGCGGCTGTGCTGTGCCCGTCTTTCCTGCAGCAGCATGCCCGTGATCACGCATGTCTTCCCTGCATGAAAGCAACTGCGATCGCGGCTATCTTCCCACCCCCCCACCCCGACTGGGGAGATGGCCATGATTGCAGTTGCGTTCATGCAGGGAAGACATGCGGGATCACGGGTGCACTCCTGCAGGAAAGACAGACGCAATCTTGGCCATTCCCCCCCCCCCCGCCCAACCAGCACGATCACACCCGTCTCTCCCTCCCCCAGTGCGCTCCGTTCGCACCCGTCTCTCCAGCCCCCAGTGCGCCCGTGATCGCTCCTGTCTCTCCCCCCCACCCCCAGCGCGCCAGGATGATGGGCGTGTACATGGATGACAGGCGCGATCTCAGTCGTGCTGAGGGGGGGCGGGGAGATGGCCACGCTTGTGCTCGGGGTGTGGTGGTG